AGGCAGGTGGATTGCTGAGCTCACAGGTTCAAGTCTAGCCTGAGCCAGAGTAAGACTTTGTCTCTAAAAATAGCCGGGCATTGTGGCAGGCGCCTGTAGTCCCAGCTATTTGGGAGGCTGAGGCAAGAGAATCGCTTGAGTCTAAGAGTTTGAGGTTGCTGTGAGCTATAATGCACTCTACCGGGGGCAACAAAGTTAGACTCTGTCTCAAAAAAAAGACAATTAAAGGATGATCATAATCGTAGTAATGAGCACAACCCTCTATTGGAGCATTTAATCTACTTGCGGCACCTTAGTCTACCTACCCCTCCCAACAGCCTTAGGGGCCGAGTCCTAGGATCTTCCTATTACAGATGAGGAAACCAAGGCACAGAGCCCTTAAAGCCACTTGCCCAAGGTTTCAGTGTGTGTAAGTGACCAAATCAGTATTCTATGCCAAGGAGTCCACCTGCCACCCCTACTATCACAGCCATAGCTCACCACTATCTACAAGTGTCCTCCACACATTATAATAACCCATGTAGACCAACTAAAGGGAACCACATGACTGAGCCCCAACTTTAAGAAAGGCCCCCTCAGACTCCTTTGGCCATTTTCTAGAACTCAGATGACCACACATGAGAATGCAATTCTTGTCCACCAGCCACACCCAGGCCTAGGCCCCCACACTATGTCCCCACAGGCCAAGTAGCCAGATATTTCCCTGGCTCCCCCTCTTGTCCTTTACGTCAGCATTTCCTCTCCCCATCAGGAGGCATATACCCGCGTGTTGATAGGAAATATCGACCTGTCCAGTCTCATCTTTCCTGCTGCTACATCAGGTGGGTTTCAGAGATCAGGCTGGATCCAGACCCTTAGATCTAATTTCATAGGACTCAGACTACCACCCTGAGAGGCCTACCCCTTGTATAGATAAGAAAATCCAGCCTAGAGAGAGAAGGTGACTTGCCTGCCCAGGGTCACACAGAAGGTTAATGTCAGGAGAGTCAGGCCTTGAACCTAGGTCTCCTGCCTCCTAATCTAACACCATCACTCAATGGTGGGAGAGATTATAGTGGCTGCAGCAGTCATGGGAGGATTCCTACAAGAAGTAGATGGCAAAGTGCTAAGCCTCAGTAGACGGGCAGAAATTGTAGTAGAGTCACCAGTCCAGGTAATAGGTACTCTGTACAGTATCCCAGAGATAGTGGGAGCTGGTCTGGCCAGGGAGCCACTAAGTCCATCCATCAGCACCTCTCCATCCCAACCCAACATCATTGTGTCATTGCATGCTTAGCGGCCTCTCAAGGGCCCTCTCCTTAGGTACCACCCTGGTAGCTGAGCAAGAAGGGGCAAGGTGACAGCCTGGATATAGTCAACTGACTAGAGGTCATCTCTCTTCGCTTCCAGGGCGGGTGATGGAGGCCTTTGCTCGCAGAGCCCTGTGGAATGTTGGGCTCAATTATGGTCATGGGACAGGCCATGGCATTGGCAACTTCCTATGTGTACATGAGTGTAGGTATCATCTCAGCACTCTCCTGGGGTCTCCCCTTGTATGACACCCCCGTATGAAGGGGGTAGAACACTTCACAGGTATGGGAATGACTGAACCCAGAGAAGTGCCTTGACCCACACAAGGTCACCCAGCTCCAAAGGGTAAGTGAATGCTGGCAGCTGGCCAAACCTGCTGGCCACCTGACATCCAAAGAAGACCAACACCTAGTGACAAACTTATACAGACCCCAAAGAAATAAAGGCCAAACCATTCTAGTGTGTACCAGCCCCCAGGTAGACAATTATACGGTGAATAAGTGCTACCAGACATGACCAGGGAGCCCCAGCTACCTGATCTTGCCTGGAACCTACTTATTTCTGAGCTGATGAGTACACGAGAGCTGACAGCATGACTATATCTTCCTTTCCAGGGCCAGTGGGATTCCAATCCAGTAACATTGCTATGGCCAAGGGCATGTTTACTTCCATTGGTATGCCTCTCAGGCCCCTCTACCCCACCACCCCTTCCCAGAGCAGGGCCATCCCAGGACTACAGTCTAGGGCACACCAGCCTTTAGGAAGCAAACCAGGTATAGGTACAGCCCTGGCTCTACCAATGCACTCACTTGCCTCCCCACTTCTATCCCTGTGCCCATCCCCAAATGGCTTGTCCAACCCCAACCCAACCCCAAACCCCACCAGCCCACACCCTCTTTTTGCTCTTGGGATTTGGTTCCCAGCTGCACATATAGAGTTCCCAAACACTGGATTAACAGGACAGTGGTACCCACAACCCAAGTGGGCTCTTAGATCTTCCTTACTTTAGGCTACAGGGGAGAGAGGGTCAGAGGCACAGCTGTGGGGATCTGATGCCCAACAGGGAAGGATTGCCTTTGCTTAGCCAATAGGCATCTAACAAGTCATGGGGCTGCCATAGTCAACATCCAGGGGTCAGCCAGGTAGCTGGGCCCTACAGCTACTCATCAGTTGGTATAGGAAGCCTAGGCTTGGGTCCTCCCCTTGCTTAATGCCACCATCTCTGTATCTCCCAGAACCTGGTTACTATAAGGATGGAGAATTTGGGATCCGTCTTGAAGATATAGCACTCGTAGTAGAAGCAAAAACCAAGGTAAAGTGCTACTGAGATGGGCTGGAGGTGTGGGAAGAATGACAGTAACCTTGGGCTGCATAGTGGGTGAGGAAGGTCCAAGGAAAAGGGCATTTAATGCGCAGGCATGAATTTGCTGATAGTCTTCCTTAGCACTGTAGGAGTTCCATAAACCAGAGATTCTCAAGCCTGTTTGCAAGTTACAATCATCTGGAGAACACCTTAGTTTTTTAATTGACAATGCCCAGGCCCCCCTCCACACCAAGTGAATCAGTAATCCTGCCCTAAATCATTGGCTCTCAATGCACATAATAATCGCCAAGGGAGCTTGTTAGAAATAAAAATTCTGTATAGTAGCAATCAACAAGATAAAATACCTAGATATAAACTTAAAAAGACTTACATGGAGAAACTCTCTTCCAAGGGACATAAAAAAGATTTAAGTAAATGGTGCTCTCTGGAGAGAAGTCTCAGTATTGTTAAGATGTCATTTCTCCCTAAATTAAGCTATAAATTCAAGACAACCTGAATTTCAATGCTAACTGAATACTTTTGCAACTTCACAAAATGATAGTAAAGTTTATTTGTAAAAATAAACATGCAAAGATAGCTAGGTAGCTAGAAAAATTCTGAAAAGGAGAGCAATAAGGAAAATTAGCCCTATCAGATTTAAACAGAAACTGCCATAACTAAAGCAGTATGACACTGGAGATGAACTAGATACCAGTAACAAGACAACAGACTAGTTAGTCCAGAAATAAACCCTCTAATTCCCATAAAAGACATGGGAAGTTAGTTTACCAAAAAAGCTGATGTTTTGAAACACTAAGAAAGATTATTCTTGCAAGTGGTCAGGAGGAATAAATGGCTGGTCATTTGTGAGAATTAAATTGAATAACCTCCAAAATAAAATTCCAGATGAACCAAAGTTTTAAGGTGAGCAATAAAACCAGAAAGGATCTAGAGGAAAAAAAAAAAAACCTGTATAAATTAATCTATAATCCCAGGGTGGAAAGGGGCCTTCCTATGCAAGACTCAGAAGCTATGAAGGAAAAGATTAGTACCTTTGACTACATTAAATAGAAACATCTACATGGAAACAATACCATAAACAAGGCCAATACAGCACATATCACGGAGAAAGGATGAATGTCCTTATTTTGCCATGAGCTTTTTACAAATCGGTAAGACATAAATAGACAAAATAGAAAAAACATACAAAAAACATAAACAGGCATTTCACTATAGTGGTCTGCACACATGTGAAAAGATGCCTAACTTCATCCTTAAAGAAATACAAATCAAAACAAGGACCAAATGCCATGTTTCCTATCAGATTGACAAAAAATAGAGACTTTGATGATACCCAGTGCTGGTGAGTATGTGGAGAAATGGGAACTCTCATACACCACTGGGGGTATGGGTACAAGAGGTACAACCTTTCTGGAGGACAGTTTGACAGTATCTATCAAGATACTTACTAAAAATGCCTATACCTTTCATCTCAGTAATCCCTGGACCAGTGATGTATCTTCTGGCTGCTGTCCTAAAAGTTTACCAAGTTGTTTATACAGGGATATTGATCTGTAGCATTAATATAAATAGTAAAAAAAAGTGGAAGCAGCCTAAATATCCACAAGTGGTTGAATAAATCACAGTATAGCCACTTACTAGACTTGCATAGCCCTTAAGAACAATGAGGTAGATCTTCTGGCACTACCATGGAGCACTCTCCTGGGTTAACTAAGTAAGTGGGGAGGAAAGTGTGCAAAAATATGGAAGGTAGGATCCATTTGCATGAATTTTAAAAGTATATATGTATATGGATACATATACTTCATATACCTAAAATGTTTTCAGGAAGGAAACTGGGCAGGGGAGAAACCTTTTATCTGTATTGTGTATCTTTGTGTAGTTTGAGTTTCCTAACCACATATGTGCAAGGGTTGTTTGGGAGATGAGAATTACCAGCTACCTTTTTCTTCTTTATACTTACATCTATAGACAGATCAACAGGTACATAGATATATGGATGATCTATCCATGATGGATAGATAGATAGGCAGACAGATAGATAGAAAAAACTAATAACTTATTTTAAAATTATTTAAATGTGGCTTTCTGGGCCCTGCCCTAGAAATTTTGCTTCCAAGAGGTTTGGGGAGGTGGGCCGGGAATCTACATGTTTAACTTGCTCCCTAAGTGTTGTTGAAACACACATTTTGAAAAACACAGACCTAAGTTGAACTTTCAGGAATCAGGAAGAAAGCACCACAGATGGGCATTAAGTGGTAGACAAGAGGGCTGGATAAGAGAAAGGACTCTGGAAGGCTTGGACCTACCCAGAGCGTCCATGGTTGATGAGGGCCAACTCCCTGTACCTGCTGCTTCTGCATGGCGTGCTCTCCCCCTCCCTTCAGCCTGGCTCCTCCTCCCCCCTCACTGTCTTACTCATCTGCCTTTTCTGTGGGCTCTCAGTACCCAGGGACCTACCTGACCTTTGAAGTGGTGTCCTTGGTGCCCTATGACCGGAACCTCATCGATGTCAGTCTGCTGTCCCCTGAGCATGTGAGTGCCCCTCAGTACTGTTCCTCGGCACCTGCCCCTCGCCCAGGAGGTTCCACACTGGTAGTACTTGTAGGCATGCCCTGGGGCATCCCTCCCCAGCTCACTAGAGACCCCAGAGCTTCTAGAACTTTCCAGTTAGACCAGTCTGCCCAACCTCAGGTAGTGAAGACCTGAAGAGTCCAAGACTGGGCCACTGAGCTCTGCCACTACAAGGCCTAGAACTCGCAACCTCTTCCCCTCTCCAGGCCTCAGTCTCTGCTTTTATAAAATGGGGGTAATAAAGCCTGCCCTGCTGACTCCCATTCCTGGGCCTGAAAGGACCTTAAAGTCACTATGACATTAAACAGCCACTATACACACAGCCTTTGGGAAGCCTCAGAGAATGCCTGAGGCCTGATGGTGGCAGGGACCTATGGGTACCTAAACCAAGGTGGATGGCTAGAATACCACAGCAGGAGGCTGGATGACACCAAGACCTCATCTCTTGGTAGCTTGGTTTGGGAAGGCTCTCACTACCTTTACCCTTTGCAGTTCCAGTACCTGAATCGCTACTACCAGACCATCCGTGAGAAGGTGGGCCCGGAGCTGCAGCGGCGCCAGCTGCTGGAGGAGTATGCATGGCTACAGCAGCACACAGAGCCCCTGTCTGCCAGGGCCCCGGGCACCACCTCCTTGGCTTCTGTGTTGACTGCCTCTGCTCTTGCTATCCTCAGCTGGAGCGTCTGAGGCTCCAAACTGTCCCACTGACCCTCCATTTGATGTGGGTCCCACCTGCTCAACTCCCTTAACCCTGTACCACACATGCCCCCAAGAACCCCTGCCTGCACTTCACCTGGAAACCATTGCTTTCAGCCTCCCTCCCCAGGACCAGGCCTCAAGGACTCAGGGTTTCTTGGCCCCAGGCAGCACCTTGCCCCCACCTCAGGCTATACCTCACCCTGGCTTCCAACTGCAGCTCCCCAGATAGGAGAGCTAACTAGTCCCTTCCCTCAAAACAGAAGATTAATAGGACAGTGCCCCTAACTCCCAGGGGCTCCTTGGTCCTGGGAGAGCCTGACACTATCACCACCTGCTGGACATAGCCAGAGGTGTTCCCACTCACACTCACTCTTGACTTTTTGGTTTTCCCATGCCCTTGAGACTGACCCGCCTCCATCAGCTAGCAACACTGTGATGGGGCTCCCTGCCTGCTGTGCCTGCAGAGGGAACGGAAGGGGGGCTTGCTGAGTCCTCTGCTTGCCGACTGTTGCCCTAAAGTCGACCAGAACAGCACAGTGGCCGCTGAATGAGCCTGGAGCTGGAGACCAGCCAAGGACACGCACTAGCTCCCCACACACATGAGCCCATCTCTCCTAAACCCTGGGTGGGTTCCACGCCAAGTGACAGCAGAGGAGTTAAGCCACGGGAGTCTGCCCATGGGGAAGGAAGGAAAGTGAAGAGGCATTCTGGAATATGCTGTGGAATATGGCCCCACCAGAGGCTGGGCAACAACCTAGGCAGCGGCACTGAGTCACTATCCTGCTTCCCTGGCATTCTGGGAGCCCTTTGAACTTTCCAAAGTGCGGCTGACGTGACAGTGCTATTAAATCCTCCCACATCCTTAGATGGCCCTCAACCTTGTGTGCACAGATTGCAGTTTCCCCTCTTTACAGACAGAAAAACAGCTCCAGACAGAGAGGGTGGCTCCTGCCCAAGGAGATGATGGGGCCAGATGAGAGGACAGTGCAGTTCTTTTGCCCTTCAGTGCCATGCAGTCCCTCAGCCTACCTCCCAGCCCCCTCCTCATTCTCTGAGTCTGCTGTGGTGAGAAGAGTTTGCTCTGGCCAAATCGGCCGTTAGCCACCTGGGTTCACATCCTGCTAAGATGCTTAAAACAGCCTGGCAAAGACGCCTGCTTCTGGGTTTTGCATTGTGTCTGCTGTGTTGCCAATGAGCGCTGTTACCTGTGGCTTTTGTGGTGCCAGAGAAAAAAGAGAGGGTGAGGTGGGGGTGGGGATGTGAGGCTCCCAGAAGCTCGAAGGGGAGGGGGGTGCACATGGGCTTGAGAATGTGTGTGTGAGCATGCGCGCATGTGCAAGGACGCTCAAGCATGCCTGCCACGCTCGGCAAGCCACCTGCGGCCTGTTCTAAAGGTGGTGTAACCTTGTGGAGGAAAAGAAGGGAGCCCTGTGCTGGGGAACCGGTCAGTATGGTCTAGAAAAGCTGGAGCCAGAACCTTTGCCTGGCATAGCACAGTTGGCTAGAAGGAGAGAACCAAGCGCAGGACGCAGGATGCTTGGGCAAAGGCCCCAAGTGCCCCTAGTCTGGGACCAGGCCTAATTGTGACAGTTAACGCTACCAATGCCTGCATACAAAGGCCCCAGGCCTGACCCACTTTCACTAGAGAGCCTGTAGCACTCTAGTGGACCTGTTTGCTGAGTTCTTTGCTCTTTCACCTGCTAGCCCCACAAAGCTACTAATAACAAAATTAAAGTCACCATCATGATTATTATCACTACCACTTCTGAGTGTTTATTATGTACCACTGTGCAAAAAGCTTGACATGTGTTTTCTTATTTAGTCCTCACAACCTAGGAAAAGGTACTTTTATTATTCCCATTTTACAATTGAAGGAACTGAGTGAGGCCCATATAGATTAATCAACTGGGTCAAGGATATATATTTTTTAAAATCAGGCAAATTAAAAAAAAACAAGATTCAAGCCAGTCAGATGACTCAAGAATCCATCGTTTCAGAAAATGATAAGTGGTATGGCTCTTACCATTTTACAGATGAGAAAAATAAAACTTGAGTGGGATCACACAGCTGGTGAGAAGCAGAGTCCATACCATACTGCTTGCCCAAGGCCTGCTAGGCCTTTGCTTTTGCACCCTGGGGTCCTAGTAGGTCATGGGCAACAAGAGGGCACTGGACACCTGAACAATTCCCACTTGGAGACTTTTCATCCTGAGACAGCTGATGTGCTCTGCTCTCATCTCCTCAGCCCAAGACCCAGAACTCCACCTCATGTCCTCCCTGTAATATATAACGGTCCCTTCCAACCCACCATTCTGGAATTAAGAACCTCAGCCCTGGAACGTGACTGTAGAGGGGTTAAAGCCACCTCAGCCCCTCTCCTCCCTGGTACCCAGACAGCTAGCACCGACTGTTCCTCTTTTAAGGGGTTTGCTCTGAGTCGGGCAGGGAGACATTCAGGGCACACACAGCAGACTGACACATGCAGGACTCTTGTCACATTATTAGGAACAAAAGATAAATAACTGTCCTCGTAGGTTCTAGTCCTTTGTTTTTATGCTGGAGGTTGGGGCTTCCCACCAAGTTTCTCCTCATTGTAGCTCATTGCTACTGTAGAGCAGGCCATGTGGAAAAACTCCATTTCCCCAGGAGTTAGTATTCTGAGGTTCTAGTCCCTATTGTGCCTACTGTGTGGCCTTAGGTAAGTCCCTTCATCTCTCTGGTCCTCAGTTATCCCTTTTGCAAACTACCCATTCTGCCTTCCTGGTGAGGTTATGTTGCGAGGCCCATAAGACCCGGATGTGGCAGCACTCTAAACCAGGAAGCCACACAGACAAAAGATGATAACACTGTTATTTGCCCAGCATGAGTTCAGCTCTTGCTTCACCTTCAGAGGTAGGTAAGAAAAATGTTTGGGGACAAAAATTTTATATATAAAAAGTCAAAACTAGAAAGGCTTTGGGGCAAGTATCTAATTTGTATTTTTCCAACTATGCCCCCTGGAGCCTGAGGTTCCTCAGAAACACCAGAGGGACTGTCACCAAAACAGAGCACCAACACAAAGCAGCCCTGATGGGCTTCCCATAAAATTGTACTTGAAGTAGTTGCAGCGCCAACTTCATGGGTGTATGACCTGTGCAGTCACTCAGGACTTTGTCTTTAGAAAGGCCCTGTGCTTGTTTTAATGCAGTGTAGGCCCTGTTACTGTCTCAAAATTCAAAATTATTTAACAAGGGACTGACATTTTCATTTTGCACCAGGACCTGCAAATGATACAGCCAATCCTGAATAGGAGTTCCATGACCAAACAAACAAAAATCTGTTTTAATCATTTCAGTGTATAGATGGGAAAACTCCAATGGCAGGCCAGAAAGAGGAAGAGACTGGCCCAAGTTCACAGCTTTCGAGGCCAGAGTGAGGACTAAATCGCCAGCATCCTGACTCAGCTCTGTGATGGCCCTCTCTCTTGGTGTGTGCTTCTGTCACTCCCTTATTGCCTATTTTTTTTTTTCCGAGACAGAGTCTCAAGTTGTCCCCCTGGGTAGAGTGCTATGGCATCACAGCTCACAGCAACCTCCAACTCCTGGGCTCAAGCGAGTCTCCTGCCTCAGCCTCCCAAGTAGCTGGGACCACAGGCGCCCGCCACAATGCCCGGCTATTTTTTGGTTGCAGCCGTCATTGTTATTTGGTGGGCCTGGACTGTATTCGAACCCGCCACCTTAGGTGTATGTGGCTGGCACCTTAGCCACTTGAGCCATAGGCGCTGAGCCTCCCTTATTGCCTCTAATGAATAAAGTGAGGCCCAAGAGGAGGGTCACACAGGATCCAATAGGGTGACCCTGTTGGAGGTCACACAGTTGTGACAACAATGATGATAGTGGTATTAAGCTACATTTCTTGACATTTAAAATCCTTTTTGGAATAGAAAAGGGCAAGAGTAAGATGGTAGGTAAAATACATATACAAATAGTCTAAATAGTTTATTTTAAAAATGATAACAAAGTCAATTCTCACTCATTTGCCAGCCAGCTGGCTCCAGCTGTTCATGAGTTGGAACCTCGGAAGGGGCTGGGCTGGCCACTCTTCACCCAGCTAAACCACGTCAGCAGTGAATTTTACCAACTCACTGGGCACTTCCTCAAACAAGTGGTTGGGCACTGTTGGTACCAAAAAAAAAAATTAGAAATATGAAAGATTCAATAGCAACTATTTCCTCACTGTTCACCCTACCACCCCTCTCAGCTCATCACATGTGGGAGTGGGAGGTGCTTCGCAAAACCCCTGCCCAGCCAGCCTTTGCCCTGAGGCTGGCTCATCTCTTCACTTCCTTGTTTCTTTGTGAAACAGGAACTGAGCAAGTGGCCCAAGTAGGGTACGATGGGTGGTTGGTTGAGAAAGCCCCTGTGGTCCATGGCAAGGCCATGAAGCTGAAAAGCAATTTTCCCACCCAGTGGGGCCCAAGGAACTTCGAGCCCTCTGGCTTGTCACACCTCCTGTGTTTGAGAATAGCTTGGGCAGAGAGATGTGCCCTTGACAAGTGGAGATATACCGGATATGGGCTACAGGATCATGTGGCAGAGATTCAAATGTGGTCCAGAAAGAGATACAGAAGCAGATGCCAAGAGGGTGCCAAAGAGAGAAGACAGCAGTCCCCAATGGTCACCAAGGGTTTCCTGGCTTTGGCAAGAGAAGAAACTCCCAGTAGAGACTGAAGTGAACTAATGTAGGTCACCCCCCAGGTACCTAACACTTTCCACTAACAGGGCAAACAGGGCACTGAGCTGATAGCACTCCTTCTATGCATATTGTCCAGGTAGGCTAGGAACCCTTGTCTGTCTCTCTCTCTCTCTCACACACACACACATACACACACGTGAGGCCCACATCTTGCCCAGGGTCATGCTGCCCATAGGTGATCAGAGGACAATTTGAATCCAGTCAGACAACCTGACTCCATTTCTGGGAGGCATTCTTTTGCTCCTCATCTTCTCTAGAACCTTAGACAACTCTCCCCATGTGACCAAGGGCCCAATGCTCAAAGGCCTTTGTCCCTATAAGCTTGGGACAGAGTTCTAGGCAGAGTAGCCCAGCCGCCCACTGTCCTCCATAAAAAGGCCCTCCAGTGAGTCATGAGTGTTTTGATCTGAGCACCAAAGTATAGCCTCCTTCTCTTCATATGGTAATTGACACAGCTGCCTGCAGTTGTTTTTTGTTTTGTTTTGTTTTGTTTTGTTTTGAGACAGAGCCTCAAGCTGTCCCCCTGGGTAGAGTGCCGTGGCATTACAGCTCACAGCAACCTCCAACTCCTGGGCTCAAGCGAGTCTCCTGCCTCCGCCTCCCAAGTAGCTGGGACCACAGGCGCCCGCCACAACGCCCGGCTATTTTTTGGTTGTAGCCGTCATTGTTGTTTGGGCGGGCAGGGTTGGATTCGAACCCGCCACCTTAGGTGTACGTGGCTGGCGCCTTAGCCAGTTGAGCTATAGGCGCCGAGCCGTTTTTTTGTTTTTAAACCAAGACTTTATCATGAGTCTTGAGTGTTCCCAAAGTTGCCCACTGTGTGCATGTTGTGTATGTGCATGAGGAACGAGTGCAAGAGCCCCTTGCCCCTTATCTCGTTGCTCTCCTCTGCTCTCCTCCTCCCCCATTCAATTTTGCTCTTCCTGCCCTCCCTGCCTAAGATAACCCCCATTACATTTGCTAATGGTAAGATGACCAGATTTTAACATTGGTAAAGCGGGACATCATTGGGGGGGGCAGGGCTTGACAATGCAAACTTTGATAAGCAATTCTCGATAATCAGTTCTCAACAATTATTTGTCATTATTAAAGTTTAACATTATAAATTAACAAAAATAATATAAAACGCATATCCTGGCGAAATAGCCACATGGCAGCTGAAAATCGTATATTCCCTTCCTGTTCTCCTGCTGTTCCCTAGCTTGTCGTGCATTATTTCCAAAAATTGGGGCTTTTTTAAAATGCTGCAGGACGCAGGACAAATTGTTAAAAATCAAGACTGTCCCGCCAAAAGAGGGACGCCTGGTCACCTTACTGGGGGGGGGGCTACTTGTTTGTTCCAAACAGTTTGGCTCCTTCTGAGCTAATTGTCCTTGCCTAGAAGCAAGGGAGGGAGCCAGTCTCCTTCTGATACCTTGCCCAGGAGGGGAGTAGGGAGTTTACATTAGCCTTTTCATTTCCAAATGAAGTTACATTAACCTCTTCATTCCCAAATAGAGTTACATTAACCTTTTTAGTAGCAAAACCGTATATTCCCTTCCCATTCTCCTGCTGTTCCCTAGCTTGTCATGCATTCTTTCCAAAAATCGGGACTTTTTAAAAACGCCATGGGACGCAGGACAAATTGTTAAAAATCGGGACTGTCCCACCAAAAGCGGGACGTCTGGTCACCTTAGCTAATGGCTGGGCTACTAAGGTGAGCTTCACCTTAGAAATGCCCAGGTATTCTCAAGGGACTGTGGTCTCTGCTTGGACATTTCTGGACATGGGAAGATAACTACTTACCAAGGCTGAACTAGTATCATCTGAATATCCAAATTTTTTCCTTGGAATGAACCCAGACCTTCCATTTATGTTCTCCATCATTCCTAGTCACCTGTCTCCCACCTCAGTGCTCCAGGCTAAATGTGACAGGTGTTTAGCGCTTCACACATTGACAAGGGCTTTCCTACATACTTCATTCCCACTTAAATGGCCCGCCTATTGCAACTATTATGCATAGGAAGTGACTTCCAGATTGCCCCACCCACCCCCACCTCCTTCCTGGTGGCCCTGTGGAACCATTATCAAGTGCCAAGAGAGGGTTGTGAGCAGAGGGCCCCACAATTCTCTCACCTTCCCATTCAGGAACTCTGCATCAGAGACACTTTAGCTAAGTGGTTAGTAGTGTGGGCCCTGAACAAAGACCGGACCTGTGTTTAATTAAGACTCCATTCCACCACTTACTAGCTGTATGATCTTGGGCAATTTACTTAATTCCTGTGGGCCTCAGGTTCTGCCCTAGAAAATGGGGATAAAAACTGTGTCTGACTTATCAGGTTGTTGTAAAACCCACCACTGGCCACACAGTATTACACTTTTCAGCTGTATGTGGGTGTTCTGGGGAGAAGGAAATGAAAATAGAATCTTTGGGGGCATTTTTACAAATATAGGTATCCCTCACTATCCAAATTCTTACTATCTCAAATCAGGAATGTATCTATTCAGAGAGTGGACGTATCTGGATCCCACTTGCCCAAAATATCCCACTCTTGATCATCTACCAAATGAGTCTCTTGGGGTGTGGAGCTGGGGGGCTGATCTAGGCAAATACAGCCTGCAATGGCCTTTGTGTCTTTGGCAGTCCGTGTCTATCCTCTGAGGGTTAAGATCGATCTATCAATAGAACCCCAAACAAACATACACATGCACACACATATCCTGCAACATTGACACTAAGTCAAGGTTCTCCGGACCCTCATTTATATTTATCGGCCAAGGTATTATCGTCAAGGTATTTATCTCAGTTTAAACTACCTGCCTTGGGGGCTTGTGATAGGATTAAATAACACTTGTGAAGTGCCTGATGTAGTGCTTGGCAAAGAACAGTGCTGGGCAAGTGTAAGTTTGCCACTCCACCAAGGACATCAGCTCCCAGCTGCCAGGGACCTTTATGACTATTGATTTCATACCTCTGCAAAGTGCCTAGTACAAGGCGTTGCCCACAGCAAGCTCCTAGCTAGGTCCCGCCTGCCAGCCCCTTATCAAGTTTAAGGTGGCCTTGTTCACTGAACTTCTGACCGGGAACGATTCTTTAGCTGACTGCTCTGTGTACCTGGAACATGACGTAACCTATAAAATACAAACGTGTTGTTGGGAAGGGGAAACCTATTAAACAAGCGTTTAGGGCCCATTGGCCAGCTGGGGCCTGACCTACTGGGATTCGTGCAGGGCCACGTGTTGGAAGGGAAAAGCTGAGGGCAGGCAAGTCATGATGGGGAATTGTGGACGCGCGCGCACACACACACACACCCCACGAGCGGGAGTTGACCGGGTGCTGCAGCCAGAGGAGACATATCAGAAAAGGAGAAAGAAGGGCGGGGCTAAAAGCACAGGCTCCCTTCGGTGCGGGGGGCGGGGTTGGGCCCGGCTCTGTGTTTCTGTCCGGCGCCCTCCCCCTCCCCTTTTCCCAGGCCTCAGCGGCAGCCCAGCGCGCTCATTTGCTGGCGGCCTTTGAAGGCGCTGCGGTTAGTGTATGAGCTCGGTCGTTGCTGAGCAAACAGGAAGCGGGCACTTCCTGCGCGCCCAGGGACGCCGCCGCTGCGCAGGCCCAGAAGGTTCTTCAAGATCTCTCCCGCGCTCGGCTCCACAGGCGTCGCGGGCACCTGCGGAGGCTGCCCTCCTGCCCCTGACGGTGCCGAGCCATAAAGGTCCTATGGGTTGGTTCCCTACACCCGTGTCAAGCTCAAGCCTTAGCCAGTTACTCGACTCTCTCATGCCCCTGGGTGGCCTGGAAGGGACTTTCAGGCTGGAAAGCACAGGCCAGTGAGGAAACGATCTTGGGCATGGAATCTTTTCACGGGTCTGTCTGGCAGGCTGAGTGGCCTAGAGCCAAAGAAAATATAATTTCAGCTTGCGGGGAAGGACCTTGTTGCCCCGAGCTCACCCCAACAGGTGAATGGTCCAAGCGCATGCAGCACAGTCAGGGAAGGAAGTCACAAGGACATCTTGGGAACACGGGTGGACCAGCCCTGTATGTCACAAGTGCAACAGATTTGAAAGCCTTAAAAAAAAGTCCTTACAATTCACCCCCTGGAGAAAATCTAAATGTTCAGTGTGAAAAGTAGACACCAACAACTTGTGAAATATGACCTTTTCTTTTTTAATTAAAAACAGCTTTATTGAGGTATACTTGATCTATAATAAGCTGAACATTTTTAAAGTGTACAATCTGATACATTTTGACATATGTATACACCCATGAAACCATCACAATCAAGATGGTGAACACATCCATCACCCCCCAAAGTTTGCCTGTGCCATTTGTGACCTCTCTTTCCCTATCTCCCCAAACCAGTGATCTGCTTTCTGTGCAGTAAGACTTTCTGTAAAAAACAAAGAGAATGTGTATGGACAGAGTATAGATAGATCCTTAAAACAGAAAAGGATATTCATCCAAGCAGTATGGAAAACAATATGGAGAATTCTTAAAAATTCTTCTTTTTGTTTATGTGTTCGATTGCGTAAGATGAAGTTATTAAAATTTGCTACAGATAATCCATGAAGTAAACATACTGCATAGGCATTAGATAAATGCCTGTGGAATGGGACATTTGCTGGTGGAGTAGTGCCTGCAAGTGCTTTTCAGCTGTGCTGAAGATAAATATAATGGCTAAGGGGTGTTGACTAGAGAAATGACTGATCTACTGATGATGACTGTAGGTGTGCTGATGGCAATGGGGTAAGTGTAGGACTGATTTTTGCAGAGGTGATAACTACAGGGATATGATGATGGTTGTAAGGGCAATGACTATAGGGATGATGGTTGTAGGGGTGAGAAGGTCATAGGGATGGCTGACTGTAATGTCTAGGAGGGTGACAGCTGTAAAGACAATGGCTGGAAGAGTGATAGTAGCAATTGTGATGCTGTAGAGCAACGGTTCTCAACGTGTGGGTCGCAACCCACAGGAACTATATTAAAGGGTCGCAGCATTAGGAAGGTTAAGAACACTGCTGTAGAGGTAATAACGGCTGAGGGACGTCAACTGTAGAAGTGACTACTGTAGTGATGATAGCTGTAGGTATGCTGATAGCAATAAGAATGGCTACAGGGCTGATAGCTGTAGGGCTGATGGCCAAAGGTAATGGTTGTGGTAGTGATGGCAGTGATGCCCTTGGAGATGCAAGTCGATCAGAATCATTGTCCCAACAGAGGGAGGTGAAACAGAAGAGAGATGGTTGAAGCTTTGGTTTCTGGATTTTGGTCAGTGAGATAAAGGGCTCAGGGCAGGCCATATTATGACAAGTTGATCGGCCACCTTTGGGGAGATGGAGCAGAAGAACTGGTGATGGCTGACATGAGATACCAAGGTAGGGACTTTTCTCTGACTATTCAACCCAGAGCCGTGTACATCAGAATCTCTGGAGACTGAAGCTGGGACTTCCTTCCTCCCCAGGGGCCGGCAGGGGCTGCGATTGCTGTAAGAGCGGGTCACGTGGCAGGGCTTCCTGTAAGCTGCTGCTGCCGGGTGTCCATGGCCCGCACCCCCAAGCTGCCACTGCAGCAGTAAGAGTGGTAGCGGGAGGTCTGGTCCATGCCGTGACCCCTGGACGGTGCTGGTGAGGCTGAGCAAGTGGCCTCCACATCTTGACACCTAGGAGAGCAGGGACAGAGTCTCCTTGGGGTGGAGGACCATGCTGCGCCGCAAGCCCTCCAATGCCAGCGAGAAGGAGCCCACTCAGAAGAAAAAGGTGAGGAACATCTTTGGCAACTCACATCTTCCTTCTCTCCTCTGCTCTCCAGGACTCTAAGAAGTGGGAAGACCTAAAGGCTACATGTTGAGTCTGTAGGTGCGGGCCATTCACCCAAAGGGCAATAGGACAGGGACGCAGAGGTTACTAAAGTAACAGAAGTACAGAAAAGACCTTTAAAATTGTGGAGCAACAGAGTTACGGAATAGACTCTCGGAAGTCTAGAGTTAACAGAATTCAGCCCTACAAGAATGGACTGAATTATAAAAATATAAACTTAGGGGCCAGAGTCCTAGACCAGAATTTGAGAATGACAAAATACAATGTTCAAGTTGAATCTTAAGACTATACTTCTAAGGCGCCAGCCACGTACACCTAAGGTGGCGGGTTCGAATCCCCAGCCTGGACCCGCCAAACAACAATGACGGCTGCAACCAAAAAATAGC